CTACATGACTGGCCACTGTGTGTGTGCAAACAGATGTGTTTTTTTTGTTTTCTTTTGTTTTTTTTCCTCATCGCAAGACAACATTCGTCCCCGCGGAGGAAAAGAAATAGAGAATAAATAAAAGAAGACATTGGCAGCACTGAAATAAGTATCCGCCATTCTGTCCAATCTACATAAATAAATGCTCAGGAGGCGAGAGAAGGAGAAAACGCTAACAGTTATGGTGAAATTCATTTTTCAGACCTCGGCCCACTGCTTTCTGGAGCCTGTTTATGGCTCAGAGCGTGTTTTACATTGTAGATGAAATATTTGGTTTAGTTTGGCCGGGCCGGGCCCGCTGACTCACAGCGCAGGATTGATGCAGAGTGTGTATCCTAACGTGACATTAACCATCCGTCTCTCACATGGAGCATGACAACATAAGGAGCTGCACAGCCTTTCCGTAAAGCGTTTCTGGATGATCATTCCTGTGTGCCTCAGGGATCCTCTGACCCGCCATGTGATTATTGGTTATCAGATAAGATCGGCCGCAAGCTTTGTATACAAGTGACGTTGACCTTCAAGCCCACACCCTATTGCAGTTTGTGGTTGCTTTGTGTCTGTTTACTTGTCAAAACGCCATAATTCAATTCTACAGATTGATTTGGCGTGCGATTTATGTGATCAGGTTTTCCCCGTTTCTCTTGCCATTCAGAATAAATAGCTGTTGCCAAGGGGTTTTGACCAATCGTAATCCATTATTTGTGACAGCAGAGGGAAGAGTTAGAAAGTCAGGAAACAAATAATCACACAAACTGTTTTAAACAATGAGTGACCATGAGTTCATGCTTGGGATTGAGGTTAGTTAGCAGACAATTCCTATGGTAGAGATATATAATTTTGGACTATATGTAATCTCTAGGATCTTAAAATGACGCTTTTTTTACTTCAGAGATTTAACTACAGATATTTTCATGAATACTACTCAAACTTTTACTTTTGATTCGTCAACTTCGTCTACTTTATGTTGTTTGCATTAGGGTGACCATACGTCCTCTTTTACCCGGACATGTCCTCTTTTTGGGGGGCTGTCCAGTCTGTCAGGGCTTGTCTGGCTTTGTCCGGGGAAGTTTATAAAATCCTCCAAATGTCGGCGGTTTTGTAAGTAAGTTTCGATTTTGTATCACATGGACTTACTGAGTTAGAAGCGCGTAAAAGACACTCGATCTGACCCAAAAAACTCTTAAAATTAACTTCGCCCCTGCATAGTCGTGTCATCTTTTTGAGAAGTCGGAATATAGTCATATCTTTAACATTTTTTTCAACCAGTTTTTGCTATTTTTTCCACAATTTTATATTATATTTTAAATCTTAGTAGAGTTAAACGAAGTTTCAGCGTGACTATCATAATCCGCTATCATTATGTTGAGGGCAAAGAATTGAGAGAAAATCTTTGCTGCTGCCGACAGCAGATACACCTATTGTTACGCACTGAGATAATAGTGTTGTGATTATATAGCTTTGTAACTCCATTTTCAATCAGGTACTTACCACAGCTGTTCTTTGTAAATTATAATGAGGCTGTAATATACAGAGACAGGGCCCCAAAATTCTCATCGAATTATCCTCATTCTTGTATCGCTGCAGCAGATTTGAGTAGTCAGGGAGAAATTTAAAGGGGAGGACAAAGAAAGGATGGAGTTAGAGAGATGGTTGGGGAGGAACGGATGGAGGGAGGTGGAGGGAGTGGGAGGAATCAGAGGAAGCCTGATTTCCCAAAATTGTATTGGGTTTTCAAAATCTGTATTTGAGCTAGATTTTGACCTAATCATACAGTCCCAATATACTCCAACATTGAACCACTTTTATGGGACTACATTTGGAAAAATGCTGGATCTTGATGAACTTTTATCGGATTTTTTGGACATAGTTGGTTGGAACTTCACTTGGGAAAACAAATTAGACTAAACAAAACCCAATTTACAACCACAGGATTGGAGCTAAGTCTGGGCTATGATGGCACAACTAGATATAACCATAACTCCAATGACTAAATGGTAGCTAGTGGGAGGTTTCCACAGCCTGTGATGATTTGGGGGGCCGTGTTGTCTGCTGGTGTTGGTCTACTGTGTTTCATCAAGTCCAGAGGGAAGTCTACCAGGAGATTTTAGAGCACTTCCATCTGCTAAGAGGCTTTATAGAGACAAAGATTGCCTTTTTCCAGCAGGACCTGGTACCTGCCCACAGTGCCAAAACTATCAGAAACGAGTCCGCTGACCACGGTATAAATTTGCTTGATTTTTAAGCCAACTGGCCTGATCTGAACCCAAAAGAGAATCTCCAGGGTATCATCAAGAGAAAGATGGAGGACACCAGAGCCAACATTACAGACGAATTGAAGGAGCTGTCAGAGCAACCTGAGCTTCCATAACACCCCAGCAGAGCCACAGACTGAATTCAGAAATGGGAGCCCAAGCATGTGCTACTGAGCAAATATCTTGCAAACCCATTGAAACTAAAAAAAATCCTTTGCAATGTGCCAGAAGTGAAGACAGCAATTTCTTGCCATTGCGGTTTCTTCACCATCACTGATCATCAATTTCTCCTTGGCTGAAGTTGTTGTAGCGAAAGTGAGCTCATATTTCTGTGCTGCAGCTAGAAGGCATCCTTACACACTAAAAAAAGGGAAAAGGAGAATATCAGTCCTCTCAAAAAAATATCCATTTGGAATTACAAGATAATTGGTGCAGAAGTATTCTGTGGATCCTTTTTTTCCTTCTTTAGCCCTCAATTCTGACTCTAAAGCTTACTGATCCTGAACTTTGCATGCTAAGCATTTTTTTACTCATACTGTATGCAAACTGCCTGCTTGGGCAAAGGAGTTTTTCTTGTCAGTGTCATATAAGTGGACTGCCTGCTTGTTTATCCAGCTACAGCGCAGAGATAGTATGAGGTTAAAAGCAGGAACTGCTCCGGTATTAATCATAGCAGAGACTGGGCTTCCCCAGCAGAGAGACAGGATCCCTGTGTGTGTATTTATACGTTTATGCATGCAATCATGCAGCTACGGCCCATATATGACACAGTGTTGATACAGCATCTGTACTTGTCAGTTTATATACAGTATGTAAGCAATATGTGTGACTGTGTGTGTGTGTGTGTGTGTAAGAGGCTTTCCCGGGACCCAATTCCTGCACCCAACTCAGAGGATATAATATCCAAAATCCATTCATCAAAGTCATAAAATAAGGCCTCCATGCCCCTGTGTCTGTTGGTTTCTACATCAAAGTATCTTCATTTATACATGCTTATACTGAGTGTTCACGGTCTGTGTTGAGTTAATGTTTTTCCACAGACCTGATAGCAAATTATTGTTGCTGTGCATCCATGTTTAAATAACCAATGTGTCCATCTGCTTGGTTTATGCTTGTAGTGTGTTTATGTGTGTATGTGCTGGGTTATATCGGGGCCTCTCAGTAAAGTCTCCTGTACTTTTGCACATATTTGAATAAGAAGATTTGTGATCTGACTACGGTCACCTTGGTGGTATTTTATCATTGATATGTGGGTCCTGTGGTCCTTTTCTCTAGTCTGAGGACTGGAGCTGATCAATTTATAACAACATCACATCTGAATAGTTCCCAATCTGCTCCACTTGTCAGTAACACGTGGTTTGGTTTGGTTTGGTTTGGTGCTGCAGTAGCTCAGTCTGTGGACACTTCACTTTCAAGGTTCTGCTGAGACAACCTCCACTTTTTTAGGCCCTCTTTTTCATGCAGCCCCCTCACTTTATTTATTTTGTCTTTGTCTGTGTTGCATGTCCACTGGGTCCTGTTTGTGCTTGACTGTACTTCTGTATTGGATGTGTGGGAGGGACAAAAATGAAATTTCCCACGGAGGGATGACAAACCATGTCTTCTTTGTCTTTTGACTCTCATAACAGATAAGTATAAATGTGGATCTGTGAGTACCAGGAACTTTAACTCTGACTGGTCTTTTTTGATAATACCAGAGAGTGAAGAAAGAAACTTTTATTATCACAAATGTTTTGGATGCTGAACTACCTAAGGACATTGTTGCATCATCTCACACTTGTTTGTATTATTTAATTTGACTAATGAACGTAGGATTTCCTGTAGGAGTCAATGCAAATTGAAGGTTTTTCTTCTCATGCAAATAATAATACATCATTTTGTTATAGCATGGTACACCTGTCAGAGACTTTCATTAGTTTAAGACATGATTATAAACTTAACAAATAATATCTTTGCTTAAATTATAGTTCTGGTTCTTATCTCAAAACACCACAGAGAGCTTTATTTTGCTTCTTACACTGATGCAACAATTTTATTTAATATGGAGCAATTAACATGTCAAGGTCACAACCTTAAGAGTGATGATCATTCTCTACATCACTTCAACAAACAGCACATTACCCTTTAAAGACATGGCTCCTCAGCTTTACCTGGACTGATATTTTGCCGAGCATCTCAAACATTTTCCTGGACTATTGCTGTTTTGTTCATGCATGTTTCAGAACACCAACTACTTTGTTGTCTGCACATGTTGCTAAAGGTTTTGACATAGCTGTGATGTCAATAAACAACATCGACTGACTGGAATAGACAATCTGAGTGATGTTGTACCTTTTACCAGCACTCAAATGTAACCTTTTGTCCAAACGGATAACTCGGTTGGTTAAAAACTGCTTGTATCTTCCACTACAGACCTATTTTCATAGATACTATGCTGAACTACCTCTGTGCACCTGTCCACATATACATAATCATGCTTATCACACTGATATTTACCAAAGGAATCAATAATCTAACATAAATACTAACTGGAGAAGAAACTCCTGCACTAAAGATAAGTAAAAACATTAAAAAACAGCAACATTGTCCGATATTTTTCCTGACAATCATCTCACCAGGATGAACATTTGAGAACAGTAAAAGAAAAACAAACTCTAGAAAGTTCTCTTCTTGCCGAGCCACAAAAAAGTTAATCTCATCCGGTCGTTACTTTGCTGGACATTGATCCACGGCTTTGTCTTTTTCTTCCTCTTTCTTCTGCGGTTGAATCTTCCACTTCAAGCTCAAGTTATCACGCCCCATTTTTTCTGACAGCTGAGCACTTATCTGGGAATTAACAAAAGAGAATTACTGAGAAACAGCTTCAGAAAAATGGCTCGAAAAGTAACTGATGCTTTATCTTTTGTTTTACAGTATCTGATTAAAGGTGTCTATAGGGGGTCTATTTAGCTCCACAAAGAGCGATGAAGGCAGGCTCTCTTTCTGTAACCTGTTGCTGGGCCTAGTTTATACATCTTTTGCTCGAGAGTCTTTGTATCATGACCAGAAACTTTGTCATCAGTCCACAGTTTTCGGTAAGGTCTGTATCGGTCTAAACCTCTGAATTTATGTCCACCTTTAAGATAACAGCTCTGCGTTTGCCCATTCACACCTGTAAAGGAGCTTAAAACTGTCATTGACGTCAGCTCTGCTAATTTCTGCTCAAGTCTTGTTCCAAATTCAGTTTAAAGAAATGATTTTAAAAAAAAAAAAATTGAGAAGGTTGACGGTTTTTTACCAAAAGTAGTGAGTGATGACTCCTTTAAATTTCAATAACAATAATGGTTTTGTTAACATTTTTGTGAAGTAACTGTTTACACTACTTGTTACGGCAAATAGAAGTGAATTTGCCATCTCCGTACCGCTGCTTGGTCGCGTTTCTCTAGCCTCAACCAGCTGCTATCTCTTGTGAGGTGGGAAAGTGCAAGTTCAGTTTGTTAACAGAGGCCTGGACCTCAGCAATCTAAAACATACAGTGCATCTTGAAATGAAACATAAAACAAATGAAACTCCGAGCTTTCATGCAGCTAAAAAATACATCGGCTTGCCCTTGTCCCAACCTTTATGGAGTGTGTTTCTTGCATTAAATTTAAAATTTGCACAAATTTTTCATAAAACAATTTTTCAGTTACAACCTCTGGTATGTTGTTTTTGCGCTGCTTGAATACCATTTATCTGTGCAATCCCGCGTCAGTTTTTACACAGCATCCCAGTTTTGGGGATTTTTAGGACTCGAGTTCAAATTTTGATGCAAATTTTAATCACTTCTATTTTCCTGTACTTTAGGTTGTGAGGTACCTGAAGCAGACATAATGGGATTCATGTACCTTTTTCCACCTCTGCAGTTGTTTTCAGTACAAAGACTGTACAGAGCTTTACCTTTTGCAGGAGCTGGTTGCTAATAGCTGGATCTGAAAGGTCAGCATCAGTGTGAATCTTCAGCAGGATTGTCTTCTCTATTTTGGGAACTAAACAGCAAAACAAACATTACTATGTATTAAGGACAGACTTTTTTTTTTACATTTTTTTTTTGTTTGTTTTTTTTACCTTCTTCACACAAGAAGGGATACTCCTCACTGCAACTCGCATCTTGCCATGTGTTTTCTACGTCTGAGAACGCACAGTGCTGGTTACCTAGGTAGTTGTTTGGCTGTCCCTCCTTCCAGTTTCTGTAGGAGCTGTCTCTGTTGCTAGACCACTTCCAGGGGTTTCGGTACAAGCCAATCCACACCTGATACAGACGCCCTGTGTTTAGCAGTGCTTCATTTTCCTGAGCATCCTCGATCATAGCCAGGTCTGTGTGGTGAGTTCTGCAGTAAGCCAGAGCGTCTGACCAGGTCTTTGATAACTTAACAAGAACGTATGTCTTCTGGCTTTGTGGATCCGGAGCTACAACACAAGAGGAGTACAGCTTTATAAATGGTCAAAGGTTTGGATGTACTTGGTCTGAACGAAGGCTCAGAGTATGGTCAGATGTTCAACAAACGTAATAAATGTACGTCTTAATAATCGTAAGATTTCGCTGAAAATACAAGGATCTTCTTGGGGGGATAGGAGACAAATACAACAAACCAGGGCATTTTTTAATCATGCTCTTGAGTTCACATTCTGGGATGTGGAAAGGGCTGGTGTGTGTTTGTGTGTCTCAGAAGACTGATAGCTGACAATATGAGATCTAATGAATTGAAATGACCTTCACATATGTTTTACCCCACGAAATTTTGTGCCCCCAGCAGATTTATCATTTTTTAAAGTTTTGTCACAAAGTAATAAAGCTCTCATCTCCTGGTGCAAGAAACCACACACTGTCAGAGTGATAGTGAATCATATTCAGGTTTGGTGTATTTTGAGCGAAGGGAAGAAAGACTGTGTGAAAACAAGTGCTGATAAAGTTTGACTCAATAAGAGCAACAAGTTAAAAATTAGTCTTTAACTTTTCTTCAATTTTTAAATTACAGAAAAAGTGGTTTGATCATGTTGTAATTGAATTTATTTTTTTAGCTCTGTGTAAATCATGAAACACAAAATGTTTCTTACCGTCATAACAAACAAAATCATTCTCCGTGTCACAATCTTTATCATCCCATTTTCCGCTAGACAGCAACACAGCACAAGACTCTAGTCCATCGTAATAATCTGGTTTATATGCTTGCCAGTTTTGGTAACCAGTTTTGCTAGTTTCACCCGTGCTTGACCATCTCCAGGAGTTTCGATCCTTTCCCATCTTGTTCCTCCAGGACGCAGAGTCGTCATTCAGCCCAATCCAAGTATCTGAGGTGACCAATCCGTTAAGCTTGCTATTTTCAGCGCTGCTCTCAATGGTAGCCAGGTCGGTGTGATTCGCTCTGCAGTATTGTCGAGCATCCGCCCAGTTCATTTTCAGGTCAATGTAATGGAACCGGCGAAGATTGTAAAGGGAAGGAGTGCAAAATCCTGTGAAGCATTAAAAAAAATGTGAATAGTTTATGAATGCTTATTTTATTAAGTTAAATTTCATAGAACCATGACAGAAAGTACAACCAATCACAGACAAAGTAATCATGTCATATCACCAGCTTCCCGTGTGAGTTTTATTTTAAATGTAAGTGCACTGAAATACAAGATGCTGTCTGAAACACTGCTTATGATCAGTTTGCATGATCAGTCTTTACTAGGGATGTATATCTTATGTATATCTAAGATAATCTGACTGATTTAAGCCTTGATGGTCACAATTCAATTCAAGGATAAATCACTGAAATAAACAATAATTTAATTCAGTTCACATTGGTTCAGTTTGATGTAAATCAAATCCTAGGTTATATAATATTTTACATACTATAACTGAATTAAAAACGAAGGAAAGTTTGTCTTTCAAGTTAACATTCATGTGAAATGTGAAAATCCTCATTTCAGCACGATTCAACCTCTGCATGAATTGCGTCATTTTGATTTCCACTTTTTTTGTCGTCAAGTTAGACACAACTTGGGGGTGTTACTTAACACACAGCCTGAAAGTTATGCCTTTACAGGAAACGACCACTCTTTAAAAATAAATTAGAGGATTATACTGCCACCCATGTATCTCATGTCATAGATCTTTACCAAGGTTTAGTCTGGACACCCAACACTGCGGCACTATATGTATGTGCATGTTAAAGTATTTTGCAGCAGCCTCTAAGCCGGTGAATAAGAGCGCCTCCTCACAGATACTGTTGCGTAACAGTGAATTCAGCTGACCATACCAACAATTTCCATCAAAATTCACTCTTGCTCTTCTCATAATTATAATCATTGAAGAGAGAGTTTGTGGCACATAAACACAGGAATGAAACTCTTACCAATGATGGAGAAGAGCAAAGGCAGTCTATAATCCATTTTTGGTTTCACTGAAAATTAAGAAGAAAAAATCAACAAACATAATTTGAACTGAAAATCTTACTGGATAGGAAAAAACAACCAATACATTATTTTAGTTTTCAGCTCATCATAGTGTTAATAAGATAGCTGTAGTCGTGTCAAGTTTATAGACAATTTTTAATCCAAAGAGTGAATCCATTTTGGTTTTGGAAATAAATACTTAGACTCATTGCAAGTTTGGAAACCTGTTAGTCTAATAAATTATAATAATATAGACTCAAAGAATATTCAACAAAACTTAAAACTAAAAACGTATTAACGCAACAAACAGAGTAGTAATAGGTTAATCAAACTGATCACAAATATGCATATCCAGTAATAAAAATAAGAATCAAACAAATGCATTATATGATCTACTCACGTGTATTTTCATAAACAAAATCGAGGACTTAGTCTCAGCGGATCAGTCAGACTTTGAGTGCTTTATATCCTTCAATGCCTGCCACGCCTCTCAGTCTCCGATGCGGTCCTTGAAATCAGTCTTAACAAATTTAAATATTGAAATGAGCAATCTGACTAAGATTGACTGAATTCATGCAACTAATGTAGATGAATAAAGGCAAAGCTGCAGTTTGCTAACCAGTAATATTTAGACATTACTACACTGCGAGAAATAAAAACGTACATAGCAGAATATGTGAAATAATGACGGTGATTAAGATGATTAAAGAATTTAAGAAATAAAACCAGAGGGAAACAGAGCCAACAAAGAATGAGGAGAGAAAAGATAAGACTCTTAATGTTCTTATAGTCAAAACAATAAACCCTACGTTTAAACATCTGTTTTAATTTTCTGTATTTATCATCATCCGTTGTCCAAAGAGAAACAAACCTGTAGGAAAATTCATGAAAGCTTCTATTTCCATATGAAAATGAGGCATCAGGGACGGGACAGCTTGTGATTTTCTCGCCTTAAATTAGATGTTCAAGTGTCCGGCACCATCATATAAATTCAACATGTTTGGCTGTGGTGTGAAACTCAGTCGCCTTATCGGCTTTCTTCAATCCTGCTTTCACTTGGGTTGGAACGTCAGCATGTAAGCACCATACTAAACCACTTTTTGCTGACTTATTCAGTCTGCAATCGAAGTGAAAACGTAGAGTTTTTGGTTTCTTTTCCTCAGTGATCGAAAATAAATTCTTTAAATTTGTTCATAATTTTTTTGTCTTAAGTCAACGCTGATAGGGGCCTGGTTGGTTGATTTCATTATCAGCTGACTGAATGGACTGTTTCAGGGGTTCATCTGCTTTGTACTGGAGTGAGTCTGTTGGACTCAGGTTCAGGTGCAGCCAGAATGTAAATACCTGTTTTTGAATAATTATCAATGTCAGGAAATGCCTCTGTTCTGCTTGACAGGCATTATTTGGTGTTTTACATGAAGGTAATTTGTTTAAATTAACCTCTAAAGGCCAGCTTAGGCAAAAGTGTAGCAGGATGTTAAGGTTATGTTGAAATCCATCTCCGCTCGGTAATGAAAGAATGAGATCATCTGCGTAAAGCTTGAATCTGACCTGACAGAAAGAGGCCTGGAGCTGCTGAACGCTCCAGCTGCTCTGCCAGTTCATTGATGTGAAGGTTGAATCAGGTGGAGCTCAAACAGCAGCTCTGTATTACACCCTCTTCCTGGGTAAAATCCTCTGTTTGCTGGCCGTTGATTTTTACAGCATACTGGTTTCTCTTATACGTACATTTGATCATTCACATCTAAATCATCTAATGTTTACTTTTAAGGCGTCTTCATTACCTCTGAGGGGGCAATTTGGACTGTAAACTAATTCACTGTATTATCTAGTATTTATCTACATTTGTTGTATTGTTGAGTTAAAAGTTTTTTTAAATATTTTTCTAAGTTTATCTTATTCAATTTGCTTTGTTATTTACTTTGTATGTTAATAAAATGTTGAACTAATCTCTAGTTTCTTTAGTTTTTAATTCAGATGCTTTAAAACTGGCAGTAAAAAAAAATTGTGATACTAATCGAGATCGGACGATATGACAAAATATATTGTAATAATTTATTTTGCCAAATCGCCCAGGCCTAGTGGCAACTGAATAAAGTGCATGAATTTTATTTTATTTTTTTTTGTTTTTACTTATAGACAAAACACACAAAAATATTAATCTCAAACCTCACCTTCACAGGGACCAGGAAAACCCTCCTGTTTAGTCATGTGATCAAGAAAAACAGAAGTTACACCCCTGCAGTGTAACTTATAAAAACTGTAAGGAGACTTGCTGCAGAAACTCAAATAAAAGCCCACGAAGGACTGATCACATTCTGCTTTTTGCAATATTACAAACAACTGGTGCAATCCACTTCTCAGCTATAAACACAACTCTTGAGTTAAGCTCTGGCGTCGACTTCAAGCACATCTTTGCTGCAAAAAAAACAAGCCGAGATGGATCCCTGCTTATGCATTGGGGTTGTTTGTTCTCCCTGTCTTGTCAAATGTCTCTCCCACACTCCAAAAAACATGCAAGTTGGGCGGAGAGGTGCCTAAATTCCACCTGTCATGTTTGCAAATACAGTTTTTAAAAGTCTGAAAGAGAGTTTTTTGGAGTGTAAACAGGATGAAACGGCATAACAGCCCAGCAACAGCAGCTTCAAAGAGACGACTCGTATTTTCTTTTTTGAGGTTTTCGCATGCATTTTTTAAGACTCATCTGCACCTTGAGCATGAAAATGAGCTTTGAACAACTTTCTAAACAACAGCTAACTCAGGAATAAACACACGCATAACGAGTTTACCTCAGGTTATAGTGCATTTGCAGCTAATCTGTGGAAATCAATGAAGTCTCAGTGAACGTGCCTCGAACAAAGTGTATAATATCCATTACATCAGATTACATGGACACTAACAACACTAATTTGTGTCTGAGCGAAGCTGTTCTGTTAAATAAAGCTGATAAATCCAGAAAGGGGAGATACAAAATCAGGGTTACATCTCACTTTATCCTCCCAGCCAGCACCACATGTCTGGTTTATCTGATAGGAAACACGGTGAGTCACAGTCGTTGTTCACAGCTGTTATCTGTTTGCCTCATCGAGACACTTGTTGCCCTTAGCTGTTTACACTAGAGGCCGGCGCTCCAGCGCCAAGGCTGCACAGGGATGCTGGGCTCCCCCAGGGCCTGAACAGAGCTGATCAGATAGCACAAGACATATCTGAACACACACACACAAAATACACACAGGCAGCCGCACAGAAAGATATTTATGCAGGTAGACTCTGGAAACATGTGCTTCCATTTCAGAATAAACACACAAGTATGAGAGAAGAGCTGAACAACACAGACTGTTTGCTCGGACACAAATCTGCATCCCCACAGAGTCAGACTCAGACAAGCAGGGGTCCAGATCAGCACCAGCATGCCTCAGTAGATTTGTAAAGCAAGGCTAGTTTGGCTCGACGGTTCATTGGCCGCTGCGCTCCATCAGCCCTTCAGTCAGTCTGTCCATCGGTCTGCTTGTCCGTCTGTCAATGCAGAGTTGCTACCCATCCTTAGCTAGGCTGACAGACTGAAACAGGCTTCAGTTCACTGCCGAACATTATTATTATGACTTTGCTGTGTATTATATACTGCAGTTCTGCAACACAGATCAGGGTCTTAACACTTTAAATGTGTTTGTGTTGGACGTGTTTGTGTGCAGAGAATCAAACCGATGAGCCGTAAATTCAGCTTAAATCAATTCTACTTCACTTATTTGCCGGACAACGATTTCACATTAGGAAATCCACGCACCCCTGTCCTCACTAAGGTTCACACTGTGAATACTATTGAAAACTAAGAACATGAATACTAATTATTAATGCCGCTTAATAAAAGTATTTACTTGTGAATTATATTAAAATTTTAAATTTATCCTTGGAAACGAGAAATTTTATTAAGGACTCAATTACAAAATGTAACCTTCAGAGCATGACGCCCTCTGGAAAGGACAGATGTGTTTACAGACACAGAAAAATCATGTATTA